TTTTTTTTTTGGGGGGGGGGGGCTTGGTTGATGGATGGAAGGAGAAGTTCCTCCCCCCACCTCATTAGGTGGAGCTGGCTGGCCTACGCTTAATTTCTATCCCCGAAATTAAACCCGCATTTCATTTCTGCGCACACAAGCCGGGGGTCAACAGGTAAACTGGGGGGGGGGGGGGGGGGGGGGCCCCCCGGCTTCTTGTGTGGCCAGAGCAACGGAATAACAAAATGGGATGAGCTGGATTGGAATCAGACATCACCCTCAAACGCCTTCATCCTAAAGGGTGAGGGGGCCTGTCAAGCATCGCCACATAAAATAAATGGTTAACATTAATTAAATAAACGGTATGAATTAATAGGTAGGAAAATGATGGAAGAGTTTTAGAACGCACAAAGGGCAACAACCAGGAATGGAAAGCGCCAGTTTCTTCCGGAGGTAGCTGAACACAGATCTAAACATTCACAACCTAGAAAAACACAGAGGGAGAGCAACAGAAACATAGTTGAGGACACCAAAAGTGGTTTTGTTATATTAACAGATTTACATCAACACTATATAGTAAAAAAAAAAAACAAACATTGAGCGCTGACTTCAGTACAGTATGAGATACCTGTAACTAGCAGTCGTATTGAAAAAAGTATTCTGGATTTATTTTTGCTACTGCAGCACAACTGCCAATTCATACATTAAATCTAAAGTAAACCCTAAACCACCGAGAACTGAAACCGGATTCTGTCAGTGTGTTGGTGGTTAAGATGATTACCAGTCAGCTCAGCCTATGATTTTACGTCCTTAAGACTTTACCTCTGTTTAAGCCATAAATAAAAGCAAAGGGATGTAAGAGCAAGATGCTTGTGTGTTATTGTATGTAACTTATTAAATGAGGATCCATTCAATTAAGACTTGATATAAAAAAAATCCTTAATTTGTTCATTCACTTAGAAAATTTTGCAATGAGGAACTGGGAACAATGAACTGAACTTCAGCCATAGCTGAACATTTACCCATTTTCCCTTCCTGAAATCTGTATGCAGTTTCTCCTACAGAGGATAAATTTATCTGTATCTTCACAGATAAATGGTATTTCCAACTTGACCTGAATTTTCCACCTTACATTCTTCACACCAGCAGTAAGAAATTACTTTTAACAATGACAGAAAAAAAAATGCAGCACTGGAATAACTTGCACAGCAACTTTTGGTGTTGTTCCCCTCCCCCCCCCCCCCGCGGCGGGCCCCCCCCCATTTTTTTTCTTGCT